CTGCAGAGTCTGAGGGAGCACAGGACATCACATGCCACAAGGACTGAGTGTTCTAGCTCAGGTCTCTTCTCTTCTTATAAAGGCACAGTCTCATTGGATTAGTGTCCCATCCTTATAGCTTCATTTATCCTTAATTATTTCCCTCCAAAGTTCCTGCTTCTAAATACCATAGATTAAGTTTCCACCCTCTTCATGCTTCATAATGAGGATACAATTTAGTATGAATTTTGGTGGGGGCATTCATACCACAGCAGGTGGTACGTAATTCTTTTCTAAATCCAAGTTTTGACTCTGTCAGGACAGGGTCTCACTTCTATCTTACTGTGTATATAAAGCAGTTACACACCATGCATTTTGCTATTTGTTATATTTGGCAGGAAAAGTCTACCTAGAGAAAGAGCACCAAATTGCACATTTAAACAGTAGCTAGGAGGAGGGGGAACTATTTTTACTCTTTATCCTAAATTGGCCCTCCTGGCTTGGTCTTTTATGTAAGCTCACCCTCCCTCCTCCACCCCTGCTCCACTCCTTCTAGCACTTCTATCTGGTTAGCAGTTCTACCACTGACCACTGACTGGGTTCTTTCTCTTGGTCCCAACTCATTATTTTGCCCCATATTGGAGGGCCTGTCTCTTTTCTGACACAATAGACTGTGCTTTTTTACTAACCTCTTGGCTTAGACCCAGGATCATTTTCTCCCTTACTATCATGGGACTACAGTCTCTTAGAGAAAAAGGATTATATCTGGCTCACTGTTATATCCCTACATTCACCACAATGCTTGGCATCTCTCATTGTTAAGTTTTTGAGATATACTGTTGAGTGAATGAATACCTGACCTTAGAGGCAGCCTGCAGAGACATGAGATGCCACTGGAAAATGACCCCCCTTTCTGTCCTAGATCTTATCATTCTCCTTCCATCTTCTATATTGGCAACCAGACTGGTTCTGTGCCAGTTAGATTCTTCTAACTCCTTTGTATCAAAGCTGGAACTGATCCTCTTTTCTTTTTCCTAAAGCAGCTGAGGCACAAGATTGGACACAATTCAGTCTCCATGAATTGTGGCTGGGTCTTAATTGTGACAACTCTGTCTACAGATGTTCTGCCTGGTTTCTGGGCTAATAAGAACAGGTTGCAGTCATTGCGCACTTCTGCTCACCAGGCACCATGCTGAGAGCTTTGTGAGCATGGCCTCCTTTAATCTTCACTGCCACCCTATGTGGGAAATATACCCTCATTTTATAGATGAAAAAACTGAGTCTTAGAAAGGCTCAAGGTCACAGAGCTAAAAATAGGACAATTGAGCTCTTCATGATCCTTCTGAATGGAAAACTTGTACTCTTAACAACTACAAAAATGTTCATAAAATTCCTAATAACATCAACAAAACACAAAGAAATGAGTCCTTTAGTAGATTATACATTGAAAATGAGAAGTGTTGCACAACTGTCTATTGCATGATTGGACAACTTTTACTTTCTTTGTCATGCATTCTTTTCCTTCATGTCTAAAAGAATTTGTTTTCATAGTGAGAGTATTAGAGGATACTGGGGAGGAGGGAAAGAAGAAAAGAATGATAGACGGTGAATAATATTGAAATACATCACATCTGTGTAGGAACAAGACACAGTGAAATTCACTGAAAATTGCAGAACAATGTGGGATGGGGGAAAGGGTAATGAAAAATAAGAGAGAGGGTTAGACTGATTAAAGTACAATAAATTTTCAGGTAAAATAACAAGGCAAAGCCACACAGCAATGAATAAAGGACAGAAATGTAGAATAGGTCATGTTACGGAGAGGTCAGCAGGAGAGGAAGGTAAACAAAGAAGATAAAGGAGGGTGAATGATGTATTTTCTATACAAGTATGAGTATGGAACACTGAAACCTTGACATTGAATGTCGAAGTCATTTAAGAAGAGGGAGGGGGAAGAGGGAGAGTAATGGAGAGGATGAACCTAACTGGGGTACATTGTATACATATATGGAAATGTCACAATGAATCCCACCCCTGTACAACTATTATAAACTAATAAAATTTTTTTCAAGTGTGTCTGCATAATCTTAACATATCACATTGTAGAATTATAAAACATTTCATTTTAATAGAAAAGTCTGAAGAAAACAAAGGAGGCTTCAAAAATAGTCCACGTCTTAGATTTTAAAAGCCTGTATTAAAGGTGTGATGAGAACCTGAGAGTTCTCAAATGAAATGTATGTGAGATCAAACCGCTCTAATCTTAAAGACCTGAAGTAGGTACAGAAAGTTTCAGGAACCAAATTCTGCCCTGCTCATCTTACAGTGTTCTTTGTGTAGAGATTCTAAAGTAGCCAAAAGACAGATTTTTCAATTTTTAAATTAACATCAAAGCACATATTCAGATATTTTCTGATTTAAAGAGATTGTCTTTAGAAATGCCTGATGTATATGGTGTTATATAAACACATACAGAATACCTAGGTAACCATCTATCTAGGAAACTACAGAATATAACATGGGACACTGGCCTAGCATGAGGCACAAGTCCAGATGAGTGTGTTCGTGAAGAATTACACAGCTTTTCTACAGTGAAATCGTTATCTAGAAAAGAATGCTGAGTTTACGGCTTTTGCTTGTTGTCATGAGTAGCTTGGGAAATAAGATACTGTTCATTTAAAATATATTGTGATCCTAAGAAAGCACTTCTAGCAAGTTACAAAAATATTTAAGAAAATAAATGGTAAATATTTTACTAACCAATCTTAACTAAGGAAAATAATTTTCCAATGCTTGGGAAAATGATGAACCCAAATTAAGTTTCCAAAGTGCAGCAGAAGTTACACATCTGTGTAATTGTATGCTACTTCATTTACCCATTTCAGGGACTTAAAGACATCTGTACTGGTACTGTAGCATTTATTATATGTCCATCTTATCCACTGCTTTGGTTAGGAGACTCTTTGGGGGTTCATAAGGAATGTGAAGACCTAGATATGGATCATTTTTGAAACCTCTTAGCTTTGTATCTAGAGGCAAGCCGCTTACATTTCGTCAATTTTTCATTTGTAGAAGAGGGATAATAATCGTCACTTTTTCCCTTCACACAGGCAAGCCATAGGTAGAGACTGGATCTCACAGCAGCAAAATCAAAGTTCAAGTCTGAGCTTCCCCTATGCACCAAGGCTTAGAGATGTGAGGCCTTGGATAAATTCCTTATCCCCTGGAGCCTTAGTTTCCTCATCTGTACACTTAGAATATCTCCTACTAGTAAGATGTCATGAGTTTAGAGAAAATTTATGTAAACATGTGGTACTTACTAAATGCTCTAGAATGGTAGGTATTAATGCTTATGGACACATTTTGTGAACTGCATTTTATTTACAGGGCACTGCTATGTGACTTGACTGCTTCGTAAGATTTCATATAGTTAGCTCCTGACAGACTAAACCACATTTCTCCCATGTAGTAGTCTGTATATAAGAATATATTTTCTCTTATGTATTGGAATCTTGTTTTGATACTCTTCTTAGGAAATTTACATGAGACAATGACTTTAGTAAATATCCCAACTATGAGATCTTTTTGATTCTCCTTTGCTGCATTTCAGTCTATAGTCTTGAGTGAGTTTTCAAACCATTTATTCTTTCATTTATTCATTCAACATATATTTACTGAAGTCTTACCATGTGACAGAATCTGTACTAGGAGCCCTTTCAGGAGAAATTAGCTTACATATTTTATCACAGAGGGGTTTCATTAAATATTATAGGTTATTATGCAAAATTAGTTCAGAAAAGTCATTGAGCTTATAGTAATTGTAATAGGAATTAAGAATATCTTGACAACATGTTATAGATTCTCTAGAAAATAATAAGTAATCTCTTCACTAAGGTTACTATATGTAGTAATTAAATTCATTTATCTGTCAAAATAAATCAAGAAATGGATTTAAAATGGAAGCAAATTTTATTTATTTTTAATTTTTTTATTATATTATTGTTGTACTGGGAGTACATTTCGATGTTTACAAAGGTTCTTACAATATATCATAATTGAATTCACTCCCACCATTATTCTCCTTTAACTCCCCTCCCCAAAAATCATATTTGTGACTCAGTATTGAAGTGTTGATCAGTATAGATTCTTAAGGGATTTTTTAAAAATCTAGAACAGCTTTAAAATGTGTCTCAAATGGAGACAATTAAGAAATTATTTCATTTTTACCTTCCTTTCTTTATAGTCATAAGCCACAGTTTATTTTTAATAATGAAAAGCAAGTAAATTTCGTAACAGATGAGTATATAGATTTCTGTGATGTGCTTTGACATTTCCTCTAATAATACTGCATTTATTATACCTATGATCCATTTTAACAAGATATGAATGCCTCTGATATGCAGCAACTATAGACTGAATGAAGAAAGTACAAGATGAGCATAGCAATGATCAGTAAACTATTGCCTGTGGACCAAATCCAGACCACTCACCATTTGTTTTTATAAATAAAGTTTTATTAGAACACGACCTGGTCCATTTGTTTACTTATTGTCTATGGTTGCTTTTGTGACACATTGGCAGGGTTGAACAGTTATGATAGAAATGTTGTGGCCTGCCAAGTTGAAAATTGCCATGTCATCCTTTCCAGGAAAAGTCCTTCTTTATGCAAGGTATTAAAAGAATTTCCATACCAGTTTTCAGTATCAACACAAAAGTTAAGAAAGAAGTGAAAGGGAGAGTTTCTGTATATTTTTGTGCTGTTTAGGCTTATGCCTGATGTTTGGTGGACAGACCAAAGTTAGTAGAATCAATGCTGTACTTCTGTAGAAAAATTCTCTAAAAGTCATCATGTAAGTTGTATAATCTTTCTTATTTGTAGGAATTGTGATTTTTTAAAGTCATTTGTTGTGTGGTTAATGTCGGAAAAGTTTTGAGTTACTCTATACCTGTAAACATCACGGCTTCTTTAATTGAAAACGGCCAATGTTATCATCAAAAGAGAAAAAAACTCCATTTGTTACCTGTATGTTGTTCCTCAATCCAAACTTGCAAATACATGAAGAGGAGTAGGCCTGCCACTCCAAATATCAGCACGGAGAGAAAGACTTGTTTGGGGTTCATGACCATTTCAGATGGCTGTATTTCTCCTCATGCCTGAATCTGAAGGCCACATGGTTTTCTTCTCCATAAAGCTCCAATCCTTTCTTTTTATCCTAGAATTTAAAAAAGATCCGTATTGTACATGTCTGATGACATTTATACCTAAGTATGGTAAAGATTTGTAGCATCTCAACAACATTGAAGACTTAAATGTACTGTATGCTCTGAAAACAGGAAAGACAATTGTAGAAGTCTCTAGAATGGCAATTTGGTATTGTGTAGTTTTATGTTATCTAAGGATTGTATTGTCCTATAGTTAGTTAATAAGTAGAAATCTAATTTTTAGTTAGGCAACATTTGGCCAGACTTAAGCCCTATATTGTAAAGAAAAAGTTAAGGTTTAGTTATCTTAATATAAATTGTAGGGAGGAAGGCACTGACAGAATGGGTTTTGAAAAACATGTCTATGGAATGAAGGAAAATACTTCATGGCATAAAAATATAGTTGTTCCTCAGTATCCAAGCATAGGTGCTTCCAGGACCCATGTGGATACCAAAATCTGCAGATACTCCAGTTTGTTATATAAAATGGTGTAGAATTTGTTTGAACCTAGCCACATCCTTTGGCATACTATAAATCACCTCTAGATTACTTATCATATCCAATAAATATAAATGCTATGTAAATAGCTGTTATGCTCTGTTGTTTAGAGAATAATGACATGGAAAAAAGTCTACATGTTCAGTATGGATGCAGTTTTTTTTTCAAATATTTTCAACCTGTGATTGGTTGAATCTGTGAATAGTTTATATACGCTCAGTATAAATGTACCTTTTTTTTTTCCTCAATATTTTCTTTCCTATGTTGGTTGAATCTACAAATTGAGAGGGCTGACTATATAAAGCTTATAAATATAGAGTTTAATCTAGCATTTTCATCTCATGTGGAAGTTACAAAGTTCTCCAACTTAAATGGTGAATTTAAAATCCTTCAAAGACACGAGAGGATAAATAGTAAAAGGTCAGGCTTCAAGGATCTCTTCCCATAATAACACAGAATTACTGAAATCTATCTCATGCTATAGAAATCTTCTCAGTAATAAAAGTTTATTACTTCACTTAAAAAATGCTAAAATGTTTTTTTAGAACTATATTATTTAATATTATCTTAACCTTTTATTTTTCAAAATCATACCCACTTTTGAGAATCTAAAAAAATGTGAACCCTCCCTTTAGAAAAATATAAACACACAGAAGAGCCTGCATAAAGTGACAATGTCTTTGTGCACCTTCACTGAAACCCAAGTTAAGAATCCTGGCTTCCAGTGAATTACAGTAACCTGCCTGGGGAGTGCACCTGGTCAGCAGTCAGGTGAATGGAAGCAAGGCCATGACTTTGTGTCTAACTGCTGGCTAGAGACCTTAACTTTGTTCCTTGGCCACGACCATATCTCCTCTTTAAGAGAGACGAATAAATATTTCCTGAATGTAAAGACATCACAAGCACTGCTGGGAAAAATATTTCTTTTATTCCTAATATGCTTCAAAATCTTCAAGCAGAGTCTTGGAGGGAGAGTATTGATTTAGCGTGGTTAAGAGGTGTCTGGTGAGATGCCAGTTAAAAATTTCTTTGGAAAATTGCTGGGTTGGTTAAAGGATAATATTTAGCTTTTTGTTTTCTTTTTCTGAGACAGGGCCTTGCTACTTAGCCCAATCTGATCTTGAACTCAATATCCTCCTACCTTCTCTTCCTGAGAGCTAGGATCACAAGTGTGAGCTGCCACCCCTGGTTTATTTAGATATTTATAGAAAAATCAATTTTCACCGAACTTTGGGCTTCAAAGGTAATTTAAGAGGTCAGAATTAGCAGGGAATGTATAAAATAATTTAAATGCTCCTTGGATTAGGGAAACAATACACTGGATACCTAAAGTTGTTTATGCAGAACTGGAAATAGTATCAGAAGCACTCATTTTTCTTTATCCTTTAGTTATAATGTGGATGGGGCTAAAGAGCTGTGCTTGTCAGTATCTCCTAAGTCACCTTTTCAAATCCTCTTCTTTGGATCCCCTAAGGAAGGGGCCACTTATTAATTTTTACTAGTACTCTTGATGATTTCAAGTATTTTGATTTTGGTAGGAAAGTTTTTCAAGAAACAGAAGAATTAAGAGTATAATCATACTTTTGATTTGATGGGTGATACTTTGCTCTTATATTGAATATATCTAAAATATTATGGACTTCCCAGACATCAGCAGCAAGGAACATTCTCAAACAAGAGTTGCAATTTGAGGGTTTCCAAGACTGAATCCCTCAGGGGAAGCTATGAAGAGAAGCCAGCTTTCTCTTCTTTTGACGTTAAACAATGAACAGACATAATTTCTGGTATATACGAAGATTCAGATAGGAGGAAAGCAGCTAAACAAAATCTACTACTAACAATGAAATAGTTGTTTACAAGAAGAAAGAGACTTTCACAATCTGTCTACATAATTAAAACTTTTGTCAGAAGAGATAGAAGAAAACTCATCAGTCAGAATGGAGCCACGAACCTGCAAAAATGGTGGGTGTGAAAGGAAAAAACGGACCCCTTGGGGATTTGCAGCAGAAAATTATTACCTACAATGCTGGAAATAGATTAAGAATTTGCCCTGCCTTTCTTCGGGAGATGATGCTACACTCTCACATATCCTCCTGGGTGAGAAGGCAGTAGAAAAGCCATAATTGTTATCATGGCAGATGTGAGTAGGATTGAGTGATTAAAGCCACAAGGCAGAAAGACAATCTGGTGTAAAACAGAGAGATACATTTGATTTTCTCCCATCTCAGTCCATTAACCCAATGTTGGCGTTAGGAAATGGCTCTCATTAAACAAAGGTGAGGCAGTAGGAGCAAACCTACAGCCTTAAGCAAACCTAAAGGTCAGTCGCGATGGGAAAACACACCTATTTGGAGATTATATATCTACCTCCAGGCCTTCAGAAGAAGTGCAGACTACTGGAGACTGAAATTACTTGGAATAATGCTGTTTTATGTACAAGCATTGTACAATATTTCCACAGTCAAAGGCTTCCTGTACTTTGTATAACCTCTTAACCAATTATGGACACAATGCTTTGACCCTAGTCAAGTCACTTAACAACTTGTCTTGAACTGAACTTGGAGCTCCAAAAGTAGAAGACAAGTACTAAATAAATTTTATAGTTTTATTTGTAAATTGATAATTCTAGCTTCCAAAGGGAGAAATAGACACTATTAACATACTGAAAGATAGGGTCTACATTTCTTTGTTAAAAATACATATATTTATTTGCATAAACAGTTGATTCATTTCCCACAATTATGAAAATAAATATAAAGATAGTTTCTTTATTCCTTATGTCTTTCCCAACATATTAAAATTTATCTTTTAAACAACCATGGCTACCAACAGAAGTATTTTGGGACTTAAGTATAGTGATAAATTAATAGCTAGAGGCAATTTATATAAAAGGAAATTATAAGTTGCTTAGTTTGATAAGTTTATGATTTTACAGGTGGCATTTGGGGAAAGGTTGGTGTGGACAGAAAGATGCAGGCAATTTGGTGTGGAAGAGACACAGAGTTGGTGTGGGGGGATCCATGGGACCATTCTCTATTCCTTTTCATCTCTCTGAGAAAACAGAGACCATCTGTGATGAATGCTATCAACTTTCTGCTCACTCCTTGCAAGCTTAGTGTCCTCTGTCTGCATCCACACACCTTTGCCTTATCTTTGCAGGACAGGTCTTCACACTTGCCTCCATCTTCTCCAGGTTCCTGTGAAGGAAAGTTCATCAACACCTCCTCCATTTCAGTCTACCCTCAACTCTTTCATCCAGTGATTCCTTCCTCTCTAACCCCTCCAGAGAGTCCTTGCTGTCATTCCTGGATAACCTACCAGCATGGTGCTGACCCTGACATCCTGGGGCACCTCAGCTCCCATTCATTTCTCAACCTACAGCTGCCCAAGAGGAGAGACAATGTAAGCAGGGCCATAATTTGTATAGGGATTGTAAATTGGTAACTTCCTGTATTTAAAAAAAATTTTTGCCATTCTTGTTTCTACTCCTAGGAATTTCTTATATTTCTTCCCTATTTTTTTAAATTGATTTGGAGTTCTTTATAATTTTGTATAGTAATTCTTTGCCTTTATAGGTATGACAAAAATCTTGTTTGTGACTTTTTCCCTTCTTTCTCTTCCCGCTTTTTCCCTTTCCTTTTTCTTTTCTTCTTCACTCCTTTCCTTTTTCCTCCTTTTCTAGATTGGTTGTTTCATTGTTCAGAAATTATAAATCAGTTCTATTATTCTTTTTCTTTTAGAATTAGCTAGAATTTTGAAAGACACATGCTATACTAACACTGTTCTGTTTTCAATACTATATTCTTTTAAAAATAATCTTTGGAAAATTGTCTATACAATTATAATTTCTTATTAGTTTTCAAATTTATAAGCACAAAGTTATTCATAGGACTTCCTTATGATTTTAACGATCTTATCTATAGCTGCAGGTACAACTCCCTTTCTATTCTTATGATTAGAAATGTATGCCTTCTGTTTTCTTTGATTGTCTTTGTAGAGCATTGGCTAGTTTATTTAAAAGTATATCATGATTCATTTATTATATTTTGTTTTGTACTTCATTGATTCGTGCTCTCATTTTTTAAATTCTACCTTTTCTTTAGGAATATTTGCTCTTTTCCAAGTTTTTTAATTGAACATTAACTCACGTGTTTTAAATGGTTCTAAAATAAAAATTTAAATAAGACCACAAATTTACTCCCAAAGTATTACTTTTGCAACATTTCACACATTTTATAGATAAATTTTCATTGACATTTATTGTGAACTATTTCATAATTTAAATTATGATATAATTTATGCTTTGGTTTACTGCCTTTTTAATGGTTTCTTTCTTCTTTTATTGGACTGATAAAACCTCCTAAAGTTTCTAAACAACCCTCTTTTTTTCTCCTTCTGTTTTCTTTAAATCTATAGATTTTATTTCTGCTAGCTA